TGTCGATGAGCTGCTGCACAAAATTACAGGTCTCCTATTTCTTGTGACTCTTTGCAGTATTTCATGACATGGTCTTTTAATAAGGGCTGAGAACTGCTTGTCCTTAAAATATTATTTTCTAGTGAGTCAGCATGTGTGCTTTCAGTCACTTCCATTTTATTTGACTTTGGAATCAATGGTTGCAGTTAAATACTCCTCACTTACTTCTGTGGCCCACAGCTGAGGACAATTTCCAATCCCTTAAGTCCCAAACATCACGTCTACAGAATGGGTAACTCATTTGATTTTTTTTCCTCTTTCCTTCATGATAAAAATCCTTCCAGGATGAACATTACCTCCAAGCCTCAGCAGCGTGAGGACATGCTTGACATGGTTGATTTTCACAACTCAGTAGGGATCTAGTGAGATCACGTAGCAGAAGAAAAAAAAGGTGCCAACATTTGATTTTTACTGGTAAAGCAACTGTGTGCTACTATGATATGAAGGTGTTTAACACTGACATGCTGTATGGCGAATGGTCTGGACTTGTATGGCAGTTTATCAAGTCCAGCGAACTGCAAAGCTCTTCATTCAGTTCATATACACATTCATACAGTGATGGTAGTGAGTGACTGGTAGTCAGAGCTGCTCTGGGGCAGTCTGACAGAAGTCAGGCAGGTGAAATGTCTTGCCCAATGATTGAACTCCTACAACCATCCCCTCTTTCGCTTCTTAAACCTTAAATCCCTTATACTCTCAAACATGGGTTGCACCTAAGACGAGGTTTGAGCGGCGCAGGGTTGTACCGATGTTTCAGTCTTGATTAGGCTAATAAGTACTTCTTATGAGGCCATGTGACAATCCTTATGTGCAGAAACATAGAGAAGCCTCCACCACTTTAAAATGATTCATCTGAAACCACTTTAAGTCTTCTGAACCAGCAAACTAACTATTTATAGTCAGGATAAGAATATAGCAACTGGTTAAGCATTAGCTGCTAATAATACTAATGTTATCATCTGTTTTGGAGCCTAATGTAAACCCAAACAAAAGAACTATGTCGTGTTTTTTAATGAGACTGTGCTGCATACTGAGACCGCTGGAACTTTGTCTGGATAATTGAACACATTTTTAAAACAGAGCACAATATTTAGAAAACTTTGACTCTGTTTTTGAAAACACTCAAACAGCCTTACCAAGACTGCTGTGGCTTTGGGACCACCCAACACTGTAAGACTGAAGATATTGATACTTATAATATCGCATGATGCTTCCATAGAAAAGTTTTGATTGTGTATATTTGCTGTGAGGCATCATCTGAGTAATGAGGCAATTTATGAGTTTTCTTAAATAAGACATTTTCCCTCTCACTCTTCTTTCTATGTATTATGATTATGTATCTGCTCTGTCTGAGTTTCACTGTGTTCACTGAATTAAATTTCCAGAAACAAATATTCAGACCCCATGTGCCTTTCTCTTCAGCTTCAGTGATTCATGGCTCCTTGGTGTTACATCTGTCCTGTTGTTCTTTCTCATAATTCCACTCTCTAACATGTTTCAACACTCCTGCTCTCTTAGTACTATCTGCAAGTATCTCTTCAAATGAATTTTAAAACATGTTTTTCCAATCATATGCGTCTCTCTTTCTCTTCCTCCACTTTATCGGCTGTCCAATTAAGCCAAATGTGCATGCCTATCTTTCAGAGGTGGCTTATCCTTTTTTTGTCCAGCAGAACAGGGCAGTTCACTCTGTAATTATTTAACCAACATTGTGCAGAAAGGTCACATTCCAGGAGCTCTTCCTGTTCTACCTCTTGGTACATATCCTGACATTTTGGAAGGGATATCAGGAGAAATTGTGAATACTATTGTGGATCTATTTAAACTCTTATTTAGTCTTATTGCTTAGACAAATACTTTGTTTTTTGCTGCAATATTTAAGGGTGATGTAGATAAGTTCTAAGCAAACTGTTCTTCTCCAGTATAGATATATGAGCATTGTTGACTTAGTGCAAGATGTTTTTCATCTTGCAGTAAGTGATAAAATTACCAGATTTTTGACATTTAAGCAGTGAAATGCTGGAATGTTCGTTTTCCTTAGCAACTGTGAAGGAGCTTCTCATGTCAATCCACTGACTTACTTCATGTATGGTTCGATAAATTTACAATCCCCATGTGAAAAACCACTTAATGCTCCACAGCTTCAGCCTGATGTATGGCTGGAGTATTCCCAAGAGGTAGTCGCATTGTGCACCGAATACATTAGAAAAAAATAACATTTTTCTGACCATATACATTTCTTCCCATCTGATTGCTCTCATGACTGTGTCAACTTTATATTTTGAGCTTTCTTTGGCAGACAGAGAAAAACTTTGTTCTCTGCAGCACTAAAAAGAGAGAGCCAGAGAACCAGCTTGGCAGATGTCACTCGTAACTAAGGCTGAAACCACATTATGTTCTTCATCTAAGACGACGATGTTCGTAGGTTGCCAGAATCACTCCGCACTTTCCAGTACGCCAGCAGCCCAAGTAACCATCTAATAGACATGTGGGAAGCAACTGACATTTCAGTTTTTCCTTGGTTGCAACCTTCCAACCACCTTCACCCCCCTCTGTCATTAACCGTTTAGACTGATGATTTTAATTCCAGAAACATGTTGTCTCTGTCCTCCTCTAAAGTTCAAACCAGAGCGGCATGGTAACAACACCTCTTTTAATTAGACGGATCTGAATTAGGGTGCAATGAAAATCCTATCTAGTCTATTTAAAAGGTGGAAACTGCAGTTAAAAACATCAAAAGAGAAAAAAATGTGACCTAATACATTGTGTCATAGCTTTATGTAACAAATTTCATTTGAAGGGTTTAAATAGTAAGTGCACATGTACTTAAACAATTATTGCTTCTCCAGTAAATACAGTTTGAAATAATTTTATTTAGACAAAGTTGTGCTTCAAACATATTAGTAGAGTTGATGTGATAAAATGTAACAACCCTCTTTTGCCAACAGGTCAACACATTAGTCCTTCCCTTTAACATTTTAAGCGTTACACATCTCAGGAAGCCTTTGAAAAAGAAACAGATCCATAACAATAATCTTTTTCACTACCTGTTATTGATGTAGCATTTTCAAAAGTTATCCAAATAAACCTGCCATAAATGTTCCTATTTTGAAAAGATGGCTTAAGGAAACCGTGTCCTATCATATTTTTACCCCATGAAAATATGACGTTTACTAATCCAAATATGGATTAGTAACTATGGATTTACTAATCACTATTAGTAAATGGATAACTGATTAAAAGTTTGTAGAGACTTGATAATTTCCTAACAAGTAAAAAATAAATCACAATCTTTTTTTTCCATTTCTGCAACAACTTACGGAATTGGATGAGGGACATCAGTGACCTTATTTTATCCTGAGTGCTTGTTTCTCCCTCCACCTGCACCTGGTCACAGGGGAATCCTGGCATAGAACTGGACTTCTTGATTAACTTATCTAACCAATTCCTCTCAGCTGTAGATAAGCTAAAAATGTCTTTTCACAAGAGGAGAACAATGAATAGAAATGCTAAGCTGCTTAACATACAGCTAAGCCACAACAGTGTGGCACTCAGTCGCCTCCCAATAATTATTTATCCAGTAAATTCACCTGATGGAAAAATCATACAAGAACCTCGAATTACATATCAGTTCCTCACAGGATGGTAAGAAAAAAAGACGGAGGGTTGTTTTTAAAATTGTTTGTTTTGAACAAATATTATGAGAAAGACTTCTTACAAAAAAAGAAGAAAAAAAAGAAGAGAGCATAAATGTACAACTTCTGCATTCCAGCAATCTGCTTGATGTCTGTAAGCATGCCACATGAACTGAAGGAGCCAGGGCACAGATCTTTGTCATCAGGTTTGATGAAAACCAAATCAGCACCAATGTCTCACACCGACTGTCAGGCATGATCAAGGTTCATGACTTGGCCTTGTATTGCAGACACAGGGTTCAAGTATCTCCACCCATTAGGTTGACCATAAACAGCTGTTTATACCAAAATATTATTGAGTGAAATATGTGGAAATGTGTCCGACAGCAGAAGCTTCACCCATGCTGGGTTATGCAACAGGCAATGATCCAAAATACACTTGAAATCTACTGCTTGCTATTGGTGTAAGATATTAAAAATGTGACTATTGTATTAAGGCTAAGCAAACAAAAATTTCACCAAGACAAGACCTAATAACTTTATACCACATGGAAATTAATTTTTCCCTATTTATAGTTTAGAATTTACAAGTTTTACTGTTTTTTACAAATCTTTTTATCCAACCTTACATCACTAAATCCTAGCTTTAGTATTTCAACAGCCAGAAGAACCAAAGATTTTTAGCTTTAGCTCATTAGATAGCAAAATGGAAAATGTCACCACTGAAATGTATTTGTAAAGGCCAAGAGTCTGACTCACTGCATGAAGAAGCCTCTTTTAATCTGATAGTACTTTATAGGAAGACCGACCAGATCATTTTAAGCTGTTGTAAAGCCGTCATCTTTCACTGTGACTCAACTGTACCAGACCCAGACTCAACAGGCTGAGCAGAAATAGAAACACCGTCATCAGCTTCATAATAACTCCCTGATCATTGGCAAAAGGCAGGATTCTAGCAAAAATACTTCTGAAGCACCTTTTGCTTGAACAAAAGGTCTGGTCATGTTACACTGACCCTGCCTCACAAAAAATGCAAACAAAAGAAAAATGGAGTGGCTGCTCCTTTGTTAGACCATCATTCCTCCTGTCGGCATTAAAATCGGACAAGACTTTGATGGTTCAGATTACTTGGCATTTTAAAAGTCACCAGATGACATCCCTTCCATGATACCTTCACAGGACTCCAAAACAACCCAGATTAATCTGAGCTGCAGGCAGAATTTGAAAATCCAAGCCACAGAGAGGCAACCAGACTCTAAATTAGGTTCTAGAAAGGTTTCAGACATCATTACATTTGGCAGAGCAGAGTGTTCAACAGTGTCATACCTGCTGATGATGAGTGTGAGCTCCTGAGTGCATGTTTTGATCTTGTTCTGAGCCTCCATATGAGTCATGAACTCTGTGCTGTCACCATTGATAGCCAAAATGGTGTCACCTGGACACAGGTCACCCTGGGCCGCCTTGCTGCCGGATGTTATCTACAAACGTCAATGAACAGACAGACAAACATAAACAGGTTATTCAGGAACTGAAGACAAAAGAATAGTGCAGTTTAAAAAAACAAAAAACAATTGTGATATTTTATCAGGAAATGGAAAATAACAACAAGGTTAGAAGTTGGATTTAATACACGAGGACAGTCAGTACATGTTCATCAATGTTTAAGTAGTTTTACAACCAGTGTTACCAGTGGTCTAAACTTTATTTGTATTACATGATAATTGTGCCTAAAGCCAATTTGCACCAGTACACAGTGCTAAGTATTTTATATCAGTATATTAGCCAACCATCTTAACTCCATAACATCCCACAATGCTTAATAGAAACTCCCTGTTAATTTGTGGTCATTTTTTAAATTAATTCTCAATAGTGATTAACTATGTTTTCTCTTATCTGTTTTCAGATTTTGTCCATTTGGCCCAAATCCGCAAAAGATGAAACAATTGAGTTGTGGGGTGTCTGACAGCACAAGTAAAATCCAACGCAGCTCTGTTTTTAGGGGAGTCATTTTGACAGTTTCATATCTTCATAAACAAACACAGTAGGGAAATTGTTAGGCATTTGTTTTAATCCATTTGTATATGGCTGGTATTTTGAAATTGAGTACAAAACCACGACCATGAGCAATTTCATGATCAACCACAAAATTGCTTAAGGCTAAACCATCAGTGAATGATTTTCAAGGTGACCCAGTAACCTTCACATATGCGACCGATTTGAAAATATCTGCTCAGTAAGTTCTTTCTTCTTGGCCTTTCTGTGGTCTTGCATATGACATATTTCCACATTCCTCTAGTTTAGAAGATTTTCTTTCAGCAGGTCATAAGAGCAGGTTTTGCACTGCGAGCCCACATTCCTGAAACCTGCATATCTGAGGACATTTGAGGAGAGGGGTGAGAATGAGCGGACGAAAGGGGAGGGTCAGTGAACCAGTGTGTGTTTCACCTTCTCATACACAGAGTAACACATGAGATCAGTTTGTATGATTACTAATATACTCACATTACTTATATTCCCAAGCCTGTCTGAAAGGAAAAAACTTGCTAATTATTTCCTCCATAATGAAATGGAACCAGTTATATCACATGAATCTGAGCCAATCATTATTGTTATAGGAAGGAAAGAAAAACAATGACATGAGGTAAGGTGTTATTGTGTCTCCAGTCTTTTTCCATGTTCCAAATATTAGAAAATGACACATTACAGTTAGTGATTTACCTAAAGTTAAATGTAAAAATTCTGCAGTTTCACGACTTGAAAAATGAATATCACCAGACGGTCTGAAGTTTATTCAAAGATTATGCAGAGTTCCCAGATCTACATAAATGGTTCCAACTGAGGTTTTCTCTGGTATAAATCAAAGCAGGACCAGATCTCTTGAAGCTAAGCTAATTGCATGAAGCTAACATGCATGACATGTGCATGCATGTCATTCATGCACACATTCGACTTCGAATCCCTGATTAACTGTGAGAGAAAGAGCCACACAGAAATGGAACAGCTAAGCTCAAGGTCTTGATGAACTAAAAAAATGGTAAATTTTAAATAAAATGGCAAATACAGGACGTAGAGAGATATGAAGAATATTGTGATTTCACTTTTACAAGTCATTATCCTTTGCTAATTTGACGACAGATTTGTTTTTTGAAACCGAAAACACCATGACATTTAGCTGGTTAGTGGGTATGTGAACATTGATTTTCATAGACACTATAGCATAACCAAAACATGACTCCTAAAGAGTAATATTTTACGGGCTGCTGAACATTTCTGAAAAAGATTTACATCTTCGGCTCAATTTCCTACTTAACCGGGGGAAAGACGACCGTTATTTAAAACTTTCACAGCTCTGCTGCAATAAGGAGTGGAACAGGATGTGATTACAGTTCAAAATAATGGATTAAATTTATTCATTTACTTTCTGTACCAGGAATAAACTGCTGAGAAATAACATCTGACTGTCCTTTTTTAATTATGTTTTTATTTTTTACTTTTAGATCTTTTTAACACTACAAAAAACACAATTGATCTGCTTTGAGATGAGCAGATTACCAACATTTGAGGAATGTTTGCACAATAATGGCACAAAATAGTCATTGTTTAACTCAATTCATAGTAATTTGATCACAAAGTTCGTATTACATTCATTACATTGGATACATTGAAACACAGAAAGATAAAACCAGCTAATTGTCTCTGAGCTACACATATGTTTTCTAAATCAACTCCTTATGCTTGTGTTGGTTATCCATCTTTGTCACTTGCTGAACTCATTGATCTCCATAGCAGAGCCCCCACTGCTTAACTCCACACCAACTCTAATGGTTTTATTCTGACAGCTGCTCTGAGACATGTTGCTTCTGGATCAGTGAAAACCTGCCTTTGAAAAACAGATATAGTAATTTAATCCAGTGTAAATAATACGTAAAGAGCTGCAGTAATAAGCAGAAGTCAGGAAGAAAAGGATTTGGCTCGCACTTGTGGAAAAGACACACAAGTTCACGCTCCATGAAGCACCCATAGCTGGATTGTGTGGTTCAGATGAGGAATTGTGAATTTGCAGCCTGCGACCGCATCGATGTCACTAACTCAGTTCCGGTAAACACAGAGGGCAGTGGGGGGAGATTGCATAAATTTGTATACGCAAGAGCAATTCTGGGAAAACTGCACTTGCAGAAATTTGGCATAAACAACTGCATGACTATAAACTTGTTAATTAAAGATTGAGTCTTTGCAAAAGGCGTATGCAATAAACGTCTCTTAGGGTGGGAAATGTGACGGGGTTTTTTTTGTTTGTAAAGCGTTGGCTGACGAGACGCTAACCTGAGGGTAGCGTTGGAGGGCAGAGTTTTCGTTGCTCCATCATCATGGCCTCCCAAGAAAGAATTCCCTTCAAACATTTGTGTGAGCATTGGATCTGGGCCAGGATTGTGCCACAGTGGAACAAAGCCCATTCACCCACAACACACACACACACCCACACACACAAACACCCCCCGCCACCCCCCCCCCCACACACACACACACAGTGGATTAAATCACTTTAGGTTGAGACCCTGAACAGCACAGCATGATTCACAGACACACACGATGGTATGTCAAATAACCACAATAGCATAGCAAAAATAGACAATAAAGGACAAACATGTCTCCCCAAAGAGCCCTAAAGGTGATGCAAGCATACAAAATTATAGTTTGCTATGCGTTCACTTTTCATTCTATGTTAAGTAATTACATATGTCTCAGCGGTGTCAGTTACAAGTTGTTTTCTCTCAAATGTTTGTTGTGGGTTTTTTCTGGTAACTAGAGTAAATTAACCAGAATTTTCAAATCCTTTGTTCATTTACTAGGAACAAAAAGCTGTTGGAACCAACCTGGCCCTATGTGAAAAGTTACTGCCCACTCTTCTTGAATCATTAGTCAACAAGAATATACCATGTTTTCTTAAGTGAAGTAGTCGTTCATAGTCCTGGAAGTTTGCTTCCAGGACTGTAGAGTCAAGAATCCCTTAGATAAAATGTGCCTGACATCCTGAAGTAAACTCAAGCATCTAAAAAACAAAACAAAAACAACTCTGTGACAGCCATTATTAACAAGCAAACAAGGAAAGTTAATAATCCGTCACAGGACAAGCCAGTCTACCAAAATTACTTTAAGAGTACATCAAAAACTTCTGAAGGACATCCTAAAAGAACCCAAACTCTATCAAAGCACCACCGGCTTCACTTGCCTCTGTGGGTCAGTGTTTATGATTCAATAAAGAGACAGAGCTAAAACCTTATCCATGGGAGTTGGTCGGCCAAAATTATGACAGGGAAAAAGAATAAAATCCCAGACACATATTTGCCAAAAAACATCCCAATAAATCCCAAGACTTTTTGAAAAATATTCTGAGAACCGATGAGACAAAAGTGGAACTTTTTGGAGGGTTTACATCTTGGAAGGTAAAATTTGGCGTAAAACTAACAGAGCTTTTAAATATGGCTTTATATTTACAGTCAACATTGTGGAGGAGATGAGACAGTTTTTCTCTGTTTAGTTGTTTCAGGAGCAGAATGACTTGCTGTGATTGATGGATCCACAAAGTCTGTTCTGTAGCAGATTATCTTGGAGGAACATGTAAAGCCATCAATAACTTCAGGTTGCAGGAGGACAAAGAATGTTTAGTCATGTCTTTCTGTATTTATTCAGTTTATCTTATCTGATATTAGTATTTGTTTGAAAGGCTAAAGTACAATAGCATTGTGTTCATATTTTACAACCTCAGTTTCATCACTAAAGATATGTCTTTTCCAAACAAAGCAACAGTAAATGCGTCACATTAAAGATGACAGGTACATTTCTCACTTCAGGTGTTAGATACACCGCTCAGGTTCTGAAGTTATTTGAAAAATCATATTCATAATTAACATGTGTCTAAAGTAAAACAATACTTAGTTAAATATAAACAGAAAGTCTGGTAAGAAAATGCAAACCTCATGTCACCCAGTGTCATCATGTGAAAATGTTAGTGAATATGTGGTTCCACTTTGAATATGTCAGGGTAAATTACAGGCTTTGAGCCCAGAGAAGAAAAATGCTGAAAGCTCATGAATGTTTTTGTATGTTGACACTGAATAGAGCGTGTAATAAAACTGGATGAAAACTTTCACCCTGGTGTGTCATCTTTCTGGGGGCAAAGTCTTGCCACTAGTGCTTTTTACCATGTGTCTTTCTTGTCTCTTTTATCAAGATCCAGATCTAAATCGTTAACCGTGTTTGACTTGATGGATCAAACATGTTCCTGCTCATCGCTGAAATGGGCCAACCCAACTCCTGAAACAGCAGCAATACTTTATTTAAACATAAGTCAAAACTGGCAGTCCAGCATCTCCATGTGCCATGTTCATAAAGAGAAACTTAACAGTAATTTACCTGCATTAATATTTCTCTGACACATAAACTCTATTTCAATAAATTTGACTTGGAAATGTTTTGA